TGCTCTATCCACGCTACAATTCGATTAATTTCAAAGTATATTAGTTTACCCACTCGTGCATTAATGCCTTTATTATTCGTATACCGCTAACAATCGAAACTTCAAAATAAAGCATCGTACCTGGCCGAGTATCGCGTGCAGTCTTCGATGAACCAAACCAAACGCTGTTCGACTCGAATGTATTTCCAGTATCTAATTCTCCGAGTGCGTTTTACGTTCGTGCAACGTCAAAGCGAGTTTATTCTGAATCGAAAAATGGTGTTACGAGGAGATCCCTAGGGACACCTGTTTCAGCCTTGAGTTACCGAGTCCTCCAGCAATCCGACGTCGTTCTCTGCGGGAAATTAAACGAAAACGGTGGGTGGTTACGTAAACCAAGATGGCGCGCGGTTCTAAAACGATCGAACCGGAGTCCCGAAGAGAAACGCATCCGTGTAAGGTGAAAAGCTAACGCCAGTCTCCACGGAGCCACACGCGAGTCTCCACCTGCGAAAGGCGTGGATAACGTTGCACATGCAACTTTTCTCGGCCAATTGGCTCACGCACGAAACACCGCCATTCCGTTCGAGAAACGATCTTATTATCGCTCGATGAAAATACGGCGTTGCGAGGATTTCGCGACCGTGTTAACTTTCGTTAACGCTACCTGCTAAGTGGCTTTGAACCGGTGGCTTTGTTCGGATGCTTATTGGAGCAGTACGGATTCCAGCGCCCTTTGTTTCGATCCGTGTAGGCTGCCTCGAGAGTTTGTAAACGCCCTGGTCTCTCGAGGGGTTGTATCCAGCTGGATATTCGAAGATAAACCTCGATTTTATGAGTGGCTTTAGGTGAACTGTTAACCCTCCTCTGGGTTGAATCTGGTCGAGTCTAACTTTCAATATTATCGAATTACACCGCGGAGACTTGGGAAACCATCCACAAATTTTGATATATTCAAAAAGAAATAGGCCAATCTGTACGTGATGTTCGAGTTTTCAAAAATGTATCGTGTCCTCTTTATTCATTTACCAGTCGAAAAATTCCTGTGGAAAAACGTCCATTCCAATTTGAGAGGTTCCCAGGTCGTTTTCACGTCACAGCGGTCCAATGTTGTAGCTTAATGAATTTTCAATATTTTTTGGTGATACTTTTCCATCTGTGTTTCGAAACTGTACTTTTCACCGATGTAAAAGTACCAGATAGTGAATAGTAAAGGTACTACTATCAAAGAATTCATAAACTCGAGACATCATTTCGAATATAAAATTGTACGTAGTCCTTTGAACTGGTGCGTCGGAATACATAATGGCAAATAGACCACCGAATGGCAAGGAGAATTAGATATTAACTCGGATCACAGACTAGGACGTCCGATGGAGAATTACCTGATCAATCGATACGTCTGTGTCATAGCTTCCATATTGGACGTAGTTGTACAGTCGAGTTCGACACAGTATGGATTGTTAGGGGAGAATATGCATCGGTTGCGGTAAACTTGTAAGTTTTATAAGATCAGAAATTCTGTAATTGGAAACATAACGGAACGTATAATCAAGTTTTAATGTCATAATGACAATACTCGGTTGAACCAATTTCCGCGAATAATCGTAAAATTCAACCGTGGGATGGACATATAAATCGAGTCGTTAGTCGGATAGTCGCATCGATATGCATTGCGGAGTCCTGTATGGACGATCTGACCATATGGCAAATCCCAATGAGAACCTCAGCTGTGCCATTTCCATCGGATGTAAACTCGGTTCATCAACGGTCCATGGAGAACGTCGAGGATGCATCAGCTGTTTCTAATCTATTTCAATTCAGTTGTCTCGCAGGTGAAACAATTATCCGTATCCTTCATTTCGTGCTATTGAAACGTGCTGCTTTTAAATCGCGAACAAGCGGATTCAGTGCTCGCAGTTAGAGCGAATGAACTAACCGAAAAATCCTGGAAACATTGCATCATGACAAGTCAATTATTGTTGTGTTGTTTCAGTGAAAGGAAATATTTTCATGAAATAATAGTTTGAATCCATAGGGATGGTGAATCTTCTCTGAACGATTCCCTCTCTAAAAGGCGCGTGATAATCCCCACTGCAATTTTAGAACTGCCACAAGAGCGCCAACGCTATAAAGTTTGTTGTAACATTTTTTTTTTTTTTTTAGAAATAAGAATTCATTTCGGTGAGACATACAGTGCAGCCACGACAGAAATCGTAAATATAGGCTGCGATTTGACGCCACCGTGATAACAGATTACATAGCTTAATAGACTATCGAAACCTTGATTAGTTAATTAAACACTTCCGTATCGGCATGTGCGACGAAAACGTGATCCGAATTCCAATCGGGATTGATTAATGATCTATAATCGGCACAGAGCTTGCGGAATTAGCGAAATAACGATATCCCACTAATCGAGCTCGCACGTTGGCGAGCCCATTGAATTGATTGCGACGAGAGACGTGTGTAAAACTACTCCACGAGGTTGGCTGCTGGTGTCACTTTCATAGATATCAGATATTTCATAGTTAGTTAGTCGCTTCCTTGTTTCCATTATTACGATGCGGTTTGTAGCCCTTGTTCCAGCACGCGATAGCTACTATTGACAATTCAACGCGTAATTGTTCGGTGATTTCCTTGTTTAATTATTGTTTGAACTCTACTGTTCATCGAATTTTAAATTCACGTCTTAATTATTCCCAACAGGTGTGAAAAATTCGAGCATATTATTCCTCTGCTGCGACGTTCTAACTGAACAGCAGAGATAAATTCCCAGCCTTTGCTGGCTCCTCTGCGCGATCCTCGACGCAAAGTCTTCTAATTACTTGTTTAATCTACTCCCTCCTTCAATGTAAGCACTTCTTAGTACGTCTTCAATGCTTTGACGTCAAATGGCTCCTACATCCATCATCGTTTGCTTTTTCGTGTAAAATTCATATGCGCATCGTCGTCGCTATTGTCACAGAAAAGCCACTCTATTGTATTACTTCGTATTTTTATCTCGACGTATTCGCGTTAAGTTTCGACGCGAATAAATTTCGCATCAGTAACATTAAGAGAGTTTTGTCGCCAGGAATCGAGGGAACGTTTAATTATTGCCGACATCGCTGTTCCGCTAATTAATTTTCGTTATTATCTTTACCATTTGCCTCATTGGAATTAATTAAACGATGAGCTGACTCGATCGGAAGTGTAACAGCCACGCTGTAATCCCGGATCACGACGCAGCTGCGACGCTTCGATTGTCGCGAAATTCGCCGATAATTGGACCGTTTACTTTACATTTAAATAAATAAACACGATACCGTTACTCGAGAATGACGGAGCAATCGAGTCTACTCTGGTGTAATTGCTTTAGTTTCTGTTACAAGACCGAAACGCGTGACTATTCCCCGACCGATCGAATAGGTTTGGTTCGAGAATAGTCCGAGTGTATTTCGCGTTTAGATCTCGCGGGCTCGCAACGAAAGCGATGCGTGTGCGTGGACGTTGCAGGTGGTTCGCTGCGAAACCTGCGGCGATAAATTTCTCTCTTAACGAGATCCCACCCACTTCACGAGAAGGCACTGGCACCGTGTATCGAAATGGAAACTAATAATCCGCCGTTGAGTCGAAAAGGGCAGGTCGACGACTTCCGAGGCTGCAAAGGACGCATGGAGCATCGGCCGCGAGCATTGATTTTCCATAAATGACCGATGTCGTCAAATCCGCTGGAAATACCATTCAACCGAGTCTCGAGCATCGAACTTCTCCTATTTTGCGGTTGACGTGCTCCACGATTTACGAGCCACCGGTTTCGCGTCTGCCTTCGAGAACTTTTTAACTAAGCCCGCGGTATCCCAAATGCAAAACGAACTGACGCAGGGCCGACTTTTAATCTCATTTTCGTCAATCAAGCAACCGTGTTTTCTTCGTCCTGGTCACGTAATCGAACATCTGTGTACGTAAATTAACTATTTACACGTGCCATTATTGTCTTTGTTATTTTTTCAAAGCTAGATTCCGTATAAACTTTTTTCGCAAGATCCGATAAACTCGTCTAATCTAACGAACTCGTCTAATAACGAAACTAAAACATCGACAAAAATTAAATACATATTTTCGAGATTTTTCGTGATCGAATAAGGATCCTCGACATTTTTCCATATACGTAATTCCCGAAGAATAATTAAACGTTCCATTTCCACGAAGGCATTCTGAACATGTTGTACAACCCCCCGCTAACGTTTCGTCGATAACGGACCCTCGACTTTTCTGTCGTATCGTTTTCCCATTATTGGTCACGGGGCCGCACAGTCGTTGAATCTAAATTCCATTCTGTTTCCCGTATGTTCGCCTGGCTCGTTACAAATTGCTCGTTTGCCCGCTTTAATAATCCTGTCACGGAGGGAATTTCTCGCAGAACATCGACTCGTTCTAGATCTCCCCGATCAGGGAGACGGGGAGCATTAACGAAGCACCGATCGCGAGCGACCGATCGCCTCGGTGACGTTCCAGTTCCTCGTAATTATCCTGTTAATAAGTACTCTTCGTCCGATAAACGTTGATATGCGAGGAAACGTCGAATAAGGTACCATGGATCGCCATGGCGACCAGAAACGTAGAAGCAGCCACCCAAGCAAAATCACTTCTATATATATTTTTCTATATATTTTTTATATTTTTCTATAAATATACTTCTATTGCATTCTCCTCTGCAGCCCGTCCAGGCAGAATCTGCGAATAAACGCGCCCCTAAACGATCCTATATTCTCGGTAACGATAGTAATCTGGCCAAAGCTCTCGAATGTGAGAATCGTTCGCCAAAGAACGCGTTTGTCACCCGCCCACGCGAACAAGTCAATTACCAGAAAGCTCGTGTTTCCGGGCCAGCAAACGGGACCCGTTGAAGGTATTTTAAATTAATGGAAACCGGTCCGCGGGCCAATTGTCTTTCAAAGTCCCGCCCTCCTCCTTCGCAGCAATCGTTCTTGCCTCGGATTTCTTACCAGGTCACGCCGTCCCTTCTTCTGTTACAGACAGAACAATTCACGGTTCTGTGGCTGCTGTTCGCCATGATTGTCGTGGGCAATGTCGCGGTGCTGATTGGCCTCTTATGGGGTAAACGACGGAAAACACGAATGGACTTTTTCATCAAGCAACTGGCGCTCGCAGGTAAGTTCCTTTAATTAGTTAATCGAATGTCTGGTTTACGAAATACCTGAGAAGATGTAAAATATCAAAAATTCTGAGTACTGCTAATCATCGTACTGTGTAATTTCATTTCGGCAAATATTTCTGTGAAACTTATAGTGTCGAAGATATCCGAGGTGATAAGAGTTATTACCCAGTAGGACGATGCATTTTTATTACATTCGAAATTTTGTCAAACTGATTGATAAAAGTCGTACTCGCATTTCCCAAAAGAATGGATGACTAAAAAATCAAAAAAATAAGACACTGGGCATACAAGAATCGCTAAGAAATCGAGCGTCCCTTGTTGCTGCATACAATTCAATCAACGATTACCTTGCTCCCGTCTCGAGAGCTCGTAAACCCGGTCGATTATCGAATGCAGCTCTCGACGCGATGTTACAGCGAATTTCCTCGACGGTTTGTCGAGCAGCGTGTTTACGCGACGTGGCTTAAACCGAGCGCGAGAGAACACGGAAACAGAAGCAGGGTTATGTCAGCGGGTAAGGACAGTATGCATAAAGTAACATCGTCGTAAGATGTCAAACGCGTCGTAAAACGACGAAGTTTATTTTTGACTCGATACTAACTTCGTCGTCAAAGCTACTACTAAAGGATTGGCGTCTCGGGCGCAAGTTCAAGGAAGCCCCCGATTCCGCGACGACTTTCAGCTTCGATTCCAGTTCTGCGTCGAACAATCCAGCGAGTTTAACGCGGCAAAAACAATCCACCGATTGTGGAAGCTCCTGAGATGGACAAAAGTCAAGTTATGGAGCTATAAAGATTTATAAGCGTACTTTACGCTACCGTTCGAAGGATAGTAGGTTGTTTTTGGCAGAGATATCGATGTTGGTTCGACGACAAAGTTGAGCGAAGCGGAATGAATCAGTTTTCGGTGAATAATGACTTTATCTAGCTTTATAACATCGTAGCTTTTGCAAGTTTACACGATTTATAAAGAATTAAAGAAATTGCCATTTAAAAAGAGAGTGCAAAGTTTCAAAACTGTCGAGCAGTTTTCGTTATACGTCTTTTAACGATTCCACCGCGATGTTTCTCAAATTTCAAAAAGCCTGCGCGATACCTATAGCCGCGCATCGCGTTCGTTAAAAAAGTGAACAAATTTATGGAAATCTAATATACAGAGAAACTTTTTTGCTCGTTACAGCCTTCGCTACAGGTCTCGTTATACTCGTGCTCGTTACGAAGGAGATCGATTGTAAGGATGGAAGTAATCTGTACGAGTACATATTTCATGTCTCGACGTCTAGACCGCACTGGTGGAATGGTTGAATACTCGTTGAAATGAAGCAATTATCTAAAATAACCGAGTATCTAATAAAAGATACATGCTTACATCGAAAGAGTTAGTGAAAGCCTAATGTGCTCGTAATTTTTTTCTCCTTTAATTTCTAAAAGTTTCCGATCGAATTTCATCCAAAATCTTCTCGAAACGCTTCTTCGACTTCGACGCTACTTGATGTCGCTACTAGTTTCGAAAATAAACATGATTAGCAGGGTGCGTCAAAAGTAATTTATCGCACCGTGTCGTTCACGATCTACAAGTCAAAACAAGGGAAAAGTTCAGACAAACATTGGCCCGAAAGTAGGTCCTCCAACTGGTCTTATGTTTTTTTCCTACTGCAAGCATTCTGTATTGATCTGTGAGACGACCCGCTTCGAGTGGAAATAGTGTCTGCGAGTGCAAAAAATGCGCCGAAATATAAACGACGTTTTACAGACCGTGTAAAATCGACGGACGTAAACCCGGTTGGCCGTCCAATGACAATGGCCGGCTGCCACCCGTAAAACCTATCGAACGACGCGTAAACGTGACCCTGTATCGGAAAACGAGTATCGAAGCTCGAGTTCCCGCTTTTCGAGAGAACCGCTCGCCTAAGTGAGGAGACATTTCCAGCGAGAAGGAAAACGAGCCAAAGGTGAAACCGTTCGCGCATTGCTCTGGCTGTAACAGCGACTTCCGCTTTATCGCACCCGAGGGAGGCGCATTTATTTTTCACCGGATGGGTGAGAAGATCAAACGGGGAAACATTCGACGTCCCACGCCTGAGATATAATTTTATTTATTTTTGGCGATAGAGTAAATAATCGCAGCAGCGAGTGCGAGAGGAATAGTTCCTTTCAGGCGCCTTCAAACATAAAATTCGTTGAATTAACCAACGACTGCGTTTTATTTTGAATAAAAACTGACTAGAGGAACTTCAACTGATCTCCAAGGATGCGAACAAACGCTACAAACACTCGTCAACAGTACGAAACATGGGAAGATATTGCCGCGTTGCGACAAGTCAATTGGTTTGGCCTTCGCGCAATAAATCCCAGAGCGAAACGAGAGGAAGAATATCCACGAAGATCATCCTAACCTGGCCGAGCATCGGATGGGACACTGCACGCGAACGCGAAGACAACCAAGCAGCCAAGAATCAACCAAGAGTCGACGAAATCTGGAAACGTCCGCGCACGTTTACGAGCGAGTAACGACCTGGCTCGATCCGCTTTAAAAGAAACGCGAACAGCGGTCCCACGAGTGCGTCATAAAATTCAAATTTGCGAACGTTCCAGCAAGATCGTTGCCCCCCGAGGGCGATAAATTACACCGAATATGAAGGCGTAAAATTTGAATCGGCTGTCGAGAACGTATTGCGATCGAAACGAACGCTAAAACCAAAGCGTAGTCAACGCGATCGATTAATTCTTTCATCGACGCTCGACACGAGGATCGCCCGGCCATAATCTGCGTTATTACGGGGCGGACAAGTTCGAATCGAATTTCAATATCGAAGAGAATATATGACTCGGGACGGAGGCCCTTAGGGTGAAATCTTACTCTCGAGGGTTTTTTTTTTTTACGGCAGTCAGAATGGCACATCCCGACTCGCAACACTCGATGAAATATCCTTTAAACCTCGTCTTTATAGGCATCCTCTCGCCACGCGGCGAATCAAACGGATCGTAAACTAAACGAGTCGTTCCTGGATGCTTTTACTCGTCAAAACTACGCGAACATTGTGTGACGCGTTCCATTAACGCTTGGGATTCATTCTTTGCTCAACCTCGATACAACTGTCCAAGAAGATCGTTCTATCCAGAAAGGGAGATAGATGAAATTTAATTGTTATTTAAATAAGGATACTGAGGTGAAATATGTAATAAAAATGGAGAAATTAAAATATGAACAACGCAGGTAAAAATATATTAATTTAATTGAAAGTAATGTTACTACATACATGGGCGTCAGTGCTTTTCACTGAAGAACTAACAAAATTAATTCTAAATGTTAACCGTCAAAGGAAATAAATTTAAATAAAATTCGTGAATTTTAATGATGTTACAAAAATAAATACCATGACGTTCGATTATGTAGTATCTCCAATAGTCTAAATAACATTTACTCCTAGCAGAAATTTTCACGAATATTTGTCTAGCAGTTGAATTGTGCTTCTGTCTCTTTAATTCAGTCTACGTTGCCCGAAATAGAGCTGAGTTGTGGAGCATATTACGGCGTCGGTTCGAGAAGATAATGAGTACGCGACTACGGAGTCACGCCGTCTAATAGAGGGTTAATTGCGCCGAGATCTTTTCGGCGGCATTTCGAGAGTGGAATTCGCCGTTAACGAACTCGTCGCTTTTTCCAAACAGGTCCCGTTTCAGTACCGCGCGTTCATTCATTCGTAAATTAAGTGTACGCGGAGCGGAGGCTGTTTAATAATAGCGTCACGATGAATCACCTCTCCGCGTTGCATATCTTGTTGCAGATTTATTGGTCGGCTTGATATCCGTCCTTACGGATATAATTTGGAGAGCGACGGTGACCTGGCACGCGGGCAACATTGCCTGCAAACTGATAAGGTTCATGCAAACCGTTGTCACGTATAGCTCCACGTACGTGCTCGTCGCACTGTCAATCGACAGATACGACGCCATCACGCGACCCATGAACTTCACTGGCAGATGTGAGTACGCAAATTTCTTCATTATTATTTCTCATCTATACTATAGGTAGCTTCTCCGGGAGCTTCTCTTCTATTTTTTTTTCTATGCTCTTTTCTATATTGCAATCGTTTCTGTTGCGGTACGAAGCATCGCAGCGAGGTCTCTGGACCATTGTATTATATTCAGCTCTAAAAATCAATACCAATTCGCTACCAGAATATTCTCTGAGCAGCTTTCAACAACTCTCAGCTGCTTGAAAATCTAAACGAGTTGACAATTTCGTACCAGAGTCGATCCACCCTGGACTCAAATTTTCAAGTTCGAATGGAAATAATTGCTGTATATTCGGCTAAAAAATCTAGAAAAACTTCACCTCTGATTCCCCGAGCAACATTCCTTCAGCGCTGTTCTCGCGTCATCGATGGCGAGGATCATCGTTAACGATGCTTCGGTTGTCCGCGCTTTATTTCGCCATGGTTTTTCACCTTTCGACCCGGCTTGTCGCGTTTCTTACGGTACACAGAGGAGCGTTATGACCCGATGGAATAAAATGAAAATAAAACCGTTACGCTCGCGGTAGTCCGACGGTTGAAAGCGATTTCTTGGCTAGCAGTAAATACGAGCACGCTCGAGATGTGCGCGAAGGAGGAAGAGAAATCTCTGAAGAGATCTCTGAATCACTGTTTGCCCGTGATGGCGTTGAAACGTCGTCGAGTCTGCGGTTGACGCTCCGCAATTCCTTAATACGCTTGGGAACGAGTCGAAGATAAGGTGAAGTCCAGCCCTTCTATACCGCCAACGCGATTCCCCCGGATTTTCGCTCGCGAAAGAAAGAAAATGGGAAATCGTGAAACCGTTGTATCGTTCGCTCGATGGCGGAGGCAGAAATTGCAAAACCGCGCGGAACGTCGTAATTCTGGCATAACTTTACGATCCTGCAGACGCCATAGTTACTAGGATTTATATTTGCGCGATAATCCGTCTTGTGGAAGTGGTCATTCCTCGAGAAGGGGGGCTTCCCTGAGTGTTTGGGAAACATGACTTTTGTCTATAAACAAGAGTCGAAGCTTTCAGCTGTGCCTTTATTTACTCTACCATCTCCTATAATTTCATTTCATACGTTTATTGCACTTTTCACTCCTTTCTGTATCACCTTTCCTCTCGCTTCGTAACAAGCGCGTCAAAGATTTCTATTTTTAAATAAAGTAAACAGAAACGCAGTCTACAAAGACACGTACAAACGTTTAATTAACGCCGTTTAGAGCAACTTTATAACGAGGTGGTCCAGAAACGGAATCAATCGAAACGTTCGAAGCCCGTGACGAAGAACAATTAATCCCTATCGCAAAGAAAAATGCCCCTGAACGGATTCAACCGTCAACGTGGCGATTAATTCCTTCGTCGACAATCGAAATTGCGTTTCCAGCAGTGCGCGATACTGCAGTTAATTCAGCGTCGATTTAACCGTAATCGCGACAAGCTGTGTCAAAGGATGTCATTCCACGGGATCTCATTAATATTCATGACAGCCGAGTTTCCACTTGAAATTTCGCCTGTCGTCATCGCGACAGCTTATTTCCCGTTGCGTACTTAAAAGGATCCCTAACGAACCGTGCTAATAACGATCATGTTAATAATACCGAGATAAAAGTGCTCATCGCGTTAAAGTCGACAAACAGCTTCGCGGAAGTTTCTTTATTACGGCGGCACGCGTAGTTACGGTCACCATTTTTTTCTTTTCTTTTTTTCCTTATTTTCCGTCATTACTCGGCAGCTGGTGGCGAAAGTTTCGCGACCACGGAAACTTGGCCGCGCACACCGAAACTTTTGAAATCCACAGACCCACATCTGTTCGTTCACCTCGCGGCACTGGATGCACCGACGAACATTCAAGTCGTTTATAAAATTGCCTTCGCATTTTCGGGGCTTTTATCCGCCGTTCGCGCAATATCCGTTGAGGTTAAATCGGAGTCACGCAAATATAAACAACATTTCAACTTTTTAATAACAGGGTGGAGAGCCAGAGCGTTGGTGGTAGCCGCCTGGAGCCTGTCGGCGCTGTTCAGTCTCCCGATCATTTTCCTCTACGAGGAGAGAGCTATACAGGTAGCGGATCTCATACCGTATATCGTAATATATGTATTCCGCGGAAAATCGAGTTTTCTTTTAGTAAGGACGATGTTTGCCAAGTTAGATTGTGTATTAAGATTCGATACGAGACGAGTGTTTACACGGATCGTAGAGAGTTGTTCTGTCTCTTTTATTTTAAATTGCTTACATTTACGCTTTGCCTGGAATTTGAAGAAAAGTAGAGGCGAAGGAATGCTTACACTTTTCCTCGTCGCTTGATCGCGTATTCTCTATGAATCGGTTGTACTACGAGCGTAATCGGGCAGGATGGTTTGCCAGGGGAAGACTCAATGTTGGATAGAACTGGGCTCCCCGACGCTGTGGAAGATCTACATGAGCCTGGTCAGCGTTACCATCTTTATAGCTCCTGCGCTGATAATAGGAGGGTGTTATGCTGTGATCGTAGCTACTATATGGTCGCAAGGAGGAGCGTTACGTCAGGGGCCCACCAGGGACACCAGAAGAGCGTCCTCCAGAGGACTTATTCCCCGAGCGAAAGTCAAGACGGTCAAGATGACCCTCGTCATAGTGTTCGGTGAGTAAACGATCGCGAACGAGAGTCATCTCTGACCTTTTTCATTCGTTCTATCTTAAACGAACTCGTTTCTTTGCCGAACAAGTTCGAAAAAACAAATTCCACTCTTTCTATGTAGTATCGCTCCGAATGTTGTTTGTAAGCAATTAAATTTTTTTATTGCGATTCCCTTCAAAAAGCGATCGTCATATTTTTCGCGAAGAACTCGTACCGCTGATTACAAGATTTTTATATTTACACGATGTTCACCGGGGCGGCGTAAAAGTCCACCTCTAAGGGATAGAGCGATAAATAATTGCAGCTGCACGAAACAGAATAACCGTTAGCCGCGCAAACGGAAGATATAAAAATTTAACGAACGCGAGTAGTTGAACCTCTTAGCAATGACCAAAGTTACCGAACGATTGAAACTGCGTTTATGGAGGGCAATAAAACGTAACAACGACCCTTCCCATCCCTATTCGACTCTTTCGCGCGATTATATTTGCACGACGTAAAAAGCTACGCGTCGAGGAGATAAGCGAAAACGGTCTTCGAGGCTTCTCGAACCCCTCGCGCGGATCGCTGCGTCGCGAACGAAGGAAACTCGAGTCGATCGGGAGGGTAACTCATTGTCGGTCTTCCATTGCAAGCAATTCTGGAAAACCCGCTCCACTAATTGGAAAATATTCTACATTTCATTCGACGACTTGAAGGAAGAAGACATCTTCTAAGAGAAGAATAGATTAAATACAGAATTCATTCTTGTTACCATTGCTCTCGCTATTTACCCTATTACATTCTTGCAAAGTAAAACAAGAATCGAGTACAATTCGTTTCCATTGAATAATGATTTTCAACGTTTTACGAGGCTGGTGTGAGGAATTGAACACGAAGCCAGAAGGGTATCGCGGTTTGCGATAAAGTGGGCGAAAGTTATCTCAGGCGTTCAATATTAGCTAATAACGTTAGCAATCGAGCGGAATTATTTGCACTGGAACTAACCTCGGGACATTCCGGAAGATGACGACGCCAACGATATTTGTCAAACACCGTGCAAAAGTCTCCAGTCCTTGTCGTTCAAAGGACCATCGACTTTCCCTTTATTCCACAAGGGAACGGTTTCACGTGCAACAGAAATTGCTTGGTCTAATCAGATTCGCTTCACGACGATACCACCCTATGAAATTCCTTCTTATTTTCAACTGACTGAGAACTTTCCGTCTGAAACGTATCAAAGGACGCAGATCTGTAAGAACAGGTCTCCCCGGTGGTCTCTTTGAGACGGGAAAAATTGCCATTAATATTACTTACCAAGAGTGTATTGTAAAAGTTTATTCAATCGTTGCAACGAAGGCTATGTTAAGATCCGCGTACAACGATGATTATTACATGTAGTCAGACTTTAGTAAATCAAACCTGAAACAAAATAAAAGATAGCATCTGAGAAAATTGAATACAGTTACAGGATCGTCGAAATTAAAAACGACGATTTCTATTCTATTCGAGTTTAAAGTCATTTCGAAGGTGACTATTAGAAGCTAGTTATCTTGCCTTGTTTGGATTTCTGAATCGAATTAAATCAATTGAGAACAAGAGAATGAGAAAGATTTCCAATTATAGTGGTCAGTTCCTACAAATTCAACTTGCGAACGCCAAGTAGCTCTCTCTCTCCCTCCTCTCTGTCTATTGGGCTGAATTGATAACACAGACTTGCTGGCGATCTGCTTTTTCGCAATGTTTACAGTGGAAAGTAGCCTTCTAAGTGTCCATCGCGACAGGAATTTAGTAACGTTGCCGAAATATGCGCAACGTGCGCGGGTTCGACGAACCCTCGAGACTTGTGCGCGTCCATCACCTCTTCCCAAACAACAATAAACGCGTTCATCGATTACGCGGAGAACTCGTCGTACAATCCACTCGTTCATGTAAGTCATTCTCGAGCTTCTACGTGTTCTGTCCGGCCATTAGCCGCCCGTGCAGTCACTATCCAGACAAGAGATCATTAAGAAGGCCTGTTCGGATCTCGTTTCGTCCACAAGAGATCGTAAACTCGGACGAGACTTTTTTCTCCGCGATTCTGTTTATGATCAGGACTACGTAAAACGTGTATCATTTTTACGCGGTAATCCTCTTGATTAAGTGTTTAAACGTGACGAATATCCTGCTTCGAAATTGCTTGCCTTGTTCGAGGATCCGCCAACGTCAATTATTTATGTGAATACGTACATTTCTTAGGAAATCGGTAGTAATTTCTAAATCTATCATTTCTATACGGCGTTAAAGTCTCGCGTTCATCCAACGAATTTTTAAGTTCGTTGACCATTAGAAGGATTCCTCGAACCAGCGAACGAGAGGAAAAGTCGTAAGGTCGCCAAGTTCGCAGACAAAAGAGCCTCAATTCTCGTAAAGTGTACGGTCTGATAGCAAATTCTTCCAGTAATTCCTCTTTCGCTCGGTCGAGTAGCTTTCCGAGAAGATGAAAGTCCGAGACACAGCGTCTGCGTCGTTATCCGCAACTGCTTCCGGTTATTCCACCGCCGCCACCTTACGTCGGAGGACCGATGATAAACTTTTATCCGATTCTCCGGCGTCCTGTTTAATCAGTCGTTTTATGGCACTTCTGTCCGTTCGAGGGTGAAATAGCAGGTGGCGCGAGTTCTAAAATTCCGTGTAGCAACGCTCGTCCCGCGTTCCTCGCGATTGATATTTAACGCTTGCCATTTTTACGCGCCTCGACGGAAAAGAGAATAGTTCCCCTCGATTATGAATATTCCACAGGGCGAATAAATCGTTATGTTTTTTAGTTGGAAGAAACTTCCGCCGAGTAATTTATTTAACTCGATTCATCTGCTCCTTTTTATCGCCACGAAAGAAGGAAGAAAACCGCGCGTTCCTCCATCGTTACGGAGGGAAATTAATTTACAAGACTGCTCGTCGTCGTAGATTTCTATTTAAGTTCGAGCATCCACCAAATACCCCCTCGTTCGCACTTTTCTCCATTTTCTCGGAAGCGATGTTTATCCAGGTTCGAGAAAGACGGTAACGGTCGAGAATGAGGAAACGTAAACATATTTCACTCTTCGTGCGAGATAGAAACGAGTTCGTTTCGGGAGTTGCAACCTCCTGTAACCGAAATCGAGCTCGAGACCGAGTTGTTTAAACCGTTGTTCACGCTGTTTTAGTATTCATCCTCTGCTGGAGCCCGTACATACTGTTCGACCTCCTTCAGGTTTACGGGTACGTGCCGAGAACGCAGACCAACATCGCCGTGGCTACCTTCATCCAGAGCTTAACGCCCTTGAACTCCGCTGCCAATCCGATCATATACTGTCTCTTCAGCACGTCGTTCTGTAAAACTGTGCGGTGAGTACTCGTTACGCTCAAGTGTTCTTCGTAGGTAACATTTTTCGAGCGTTACATCTCCACTTCCGTTGTTGATCGTCGTAAGTTTCACTAGGTAGTTTCGCTAGGTACGCTCCTCGACCTTGTTCCTTCTTCCCAACGTTTCGATGAGAATCTACCTCGTTTCACTCACAGACAGTCCACGGAATGGATCGTCTGCGCGCAAATATAGCGATCGTTACTCAATAGGAACATGCAGGCGATCGCGTGGGTTTCCGGATGGTGCGCAACGAATCCTCATCACTGTTTCGGCACCGGTGGTCCAAACAGTAGCACCAGGACGACAGTGACGACATCGTTGACTGCTCACTCCTCGCGTAGAAGCGCCCACATCGCGATGCTGCACTCCACCGCCAGGAAACGCGTCATGGTATCTCTGGTATAAAAGGTGGACAATCTACACGGCGCTCTGGCATCTAGGACACCGTCCTCGGATCGACGTACGACTCTCCTGCCGAACGGCTCCTCGGGAGACCGCAAGTATTACGCGCCTCCGAGATTACGTTCCTTCGATTGATAGCTCGTGGTAACGCGAGATTCCCGATTACCGGCTCGCTTTTTTATATCGAAACCTGAAAATATTACGAGGATACGTCCAGATCTGCGACTGGTTCTCTACTCCCTCCTCCTCGAAAAGGAGTAGCTGGTTCCAACCCCATTCGTTGTATCTTGTACATTATTCGCTCTGCATAAAGTGCGTTAAGATAGCTTCGAACAAAGAAACAGTAACATATATTGCTCCGGAAACACTTTATCGACGTAAAATAATGCACGTAACGCGCACAAGTGGGGTGTAAATATGGATTTCACGTCTCCGTCCGAAAATACCCCGATATGGAAAATTCGACCCAGTTGCGAGGGACGTCTCGACGTTTCCTCGCAGAAATTGTACCGAAGATTTCAAGAAATACGAGCGGGAGGGGTGGGGGGGGGGGGGGCAATGTTGAAACGCGAAGCGCGATCCGCGCGGCGTGACAGGCATCAAGGAACATAACTCGCGAGACGTCGATCGAACGTGTGAATGAAACCAGTTTCGTTTTTGTATTCCCGCATTTATGTGATCAGTATTCTAGGTCTGATCGTGAGTCTCGAGTATCTTTCATCTTCTGTCGCGTCCAGTTCGATATTCTAATTCGACTCGAACGTTGCAGTTTCGTCAGAGAATCGACAGCATCGTGGGACGAAAGGAAGGGAGATAGCAAAACGAACAGACATACGATTCCGTCGAGTAAATTCCCTGGCGAAGCAGTGCATTAGACGTTTATAAAAATTCAGAAGGATGAAAGGTGCATTAGCGCGGTGATCGATCAGCCTACGTGGAAAATGATACGCTCAAAGTGTACATGTACATATATACATAGCGAATGAACGGCAGCTTCGTGTATATACTTACGTATAACCATAAATGTGTAATATATTAATGTATTCCATCCGTTGCGATCGTCGCGAATTAGTTCGTCCACGGGTGCGCGATCGACGGGATGATGAATCGATACTGACGCTGGAATTAGCGATGGGATCCAACTCTCGATTAGCGTCCAGTAAAACCCGTGAAAATTTGTCCAAAGGCGATTCGGAATTTTCAATTATTTGCTGCTCGAGCTTTCAACTTTTGTACCGGTACTAGAAACCGAAATGAAATTCTCTAAAACAGAAACCAGCGCACGTATGCAGTAGGGTGTAACGGGTGCGAGTACTCAACCAAATTCCTGGGAACGCGATGGTAGAAGTTTGCATGATCGTTTAGACCACGATAGACAAAGCTGTATTCGTAACTCGTCTATTTATTATTTATTGTACTCTGTTAAGGGGGAACGACCTATGGGGATATTTGTATTTTCATTGGTAAGATATATAATTTGTACATATTGTCGAATAAACTCGTCCACAATGCACTACGAGTCCGCCGTTCATTCTGATATCTCTTTCGTGTTTCGAATTACGGAAACGTTTGCACGGAATGGTCCTAATCATCGTCACTTTACTTAAAAGGAATCGACACCGCGCAATAATCAAGGTTCTACCGGTATCCATCTTCTTTTACACGTACACGTGTACATTTTTCACTTGTCCAAAGGTCAGAGACTCAAGTAGGAGCGTTTCAAAGAGTCTAGAAAGCGCTAATCTAGATTCGAAATCAGTTGTGACCGGAGTTTGGTTGAAAAATTCCATAATTGCGCATTTTGGCCACGTTTCGAGGCTTTTGTCCCGCCGCGTCGCGCGCGTAATTAGATAAACCATGGTGCGGTGAATCGAGATGGGACGTGACCCTCTGACGGGCCACGCTTTCCATTCTGTTTTATATAATTCGGTCCGGTGGCTGTGAGCGTTTCCGAGCTCGTAAAGAATTTACGAGCTCACGGGGCCACGCACACGCTAAACGAATCACGCGGAAAGAGCGGGACGCGTTCCGTCCGACGAAACGAAATAAAATTTCGTCGCGTTCCACCATTTCCTTTTACGGCCGACGCTGTGCCGGCTGTAAAATTCAGCGGCGCGGCGGCGCCGTGATAAGTCGGATGCCGCTGGAACGATCGTTTCGTCCTTTTCATTGTCGCTTATTTACTCCCTAAACGGCCGGAACGATCCGTCACGACGACGAACAGCCTCGGTATTAATTTTAATCCGTCTCTGCGTCCCCTGAAGGACTTTTCCCCCGGCTGTTTTTATTTTGTCGGCGATAAATCTACCAGAGATCCATTTGGGGACGATCAGGAACCTGTGACCTTCCCCCCGCAACAGCGAACGGACGCTGGGTAATCTTATTTTGGAAAACAAAAGCCGTACAAGACTAGAGGTGGACAGAATTTTACTGAAATCGTGGATGATGTACTGCGATTTTTGTTCAGAAAAATAATTTTAGGGGGATGATTCGTTCCATGCAAAATGTAATTTCATTCTGTAGGCATGATAAAGAGGAAGAATATGTTTGGCAGAATAAATGTGTTATACTATCAGTATAAGGTAACATGAAAAGTATGATTGGGATTGAAAGTTAGTCAGCAGAAAAGTCAGATGGTAAAGGTTGCATTACGTTTCACTTCATTTCATATATAATATATATATTTTTTTTTAACGTGATAACATTATTAAAACCTGCCTGAACATCTACCATTCGTTCTAGTTCGCGATCCTCTGAAATTACATTCCCGTTGATGCCATTATTAGAGAGACCGATGATATTCAATTCTGAGTTTCGCTCATATCCTGAGGAAATTATAATGAACCCTACCCACTCTTCAGCATACGTTTCAAAGTTAGCATTTCATTAAACTTTTGATTAATCTGTGTTTGCATTCGAGTTACTCTACGATCAATTATACAAGGCAAGTTAATATTTTATTATTATCGTTACATGACTATTCGTACGTGGTACATAATTTTCTACCAAAAACTGTTGAAGAAAAGACCTTGAAGGAAACAGAGGATCGATGACGAACGATTGCTCGAGATCACAGCGAGAATTTCAGGTCGATGGTAGCGTGACTGTCGCGTAGGGAGCCTTTTATTCATTTAAAAGCCCATTATCGATATTATGTGAGGATTCTAAGGGTGTGGGGGAATTTCTCGTGGTCCAAACCACAGGGAAGCCGTCGATCCCTAGTCGAGAAGCGATTGGAGAAATTTCTTGCGTTCCGTCGAGGAGAAATTCTCTTGGAAGATGTCGTGCGTGCACTATCAGTCAACGGAACCCTCGAGGGAGAGGCACTACTACGAGGGCCAGTACAACCATTACGCATCGCCGACCTACACCCCGAGAATTCGAGCACAGGAGGCTTATCAAAACGGTACGCAATCCGATTAAGTTCCCCGTTAACGATGAATACGGAATATCGGTCGAGCAACCCTGTGTCGTCGCAATGGCGCGGCCAGGAGGGCATACGTGGCAATTGAATCGTCTCTCATCGTTAAATTAATTCCGCCACGAAAAATGAATCGTGTTATTTCTGTTTACTTTGACTTACAGGGTACCATGCCAGCTGGAGACCACTAGAGTTCCAAGGGATCAACGCTGAGCACCCGACAGCAGGTAAATTAACATTTTTCGAAATCAAAGGTGTCTCCCTCCTCAATCCTAGTCGCTGTCAGATAAAGGTGTGAAACGAGAACTAACCACCCAGAACTATTACTCCTAGTGAGAGGCGATCCATTATTCCCAGATCCTCGAATGCAACCTGGAAGGATGACGCCTTGCAAACAGGAGGCGATAAAACACGTGGACGCTCTCGTTTTCGAGAAAATGCAAACGAGAATGAAGCTTCTCGAGGACAGTAATACCGTGATGCAGTCGCGTAATCAGAACCTCGTCACCGAGAACAAAGCCCTATCGTCCCGGTAAGTATTGACGCGGGAACAATGGGCCTTAATCGATATTCCTTTCGGAGATCAAAGCGCCATGAAAAATTTGATCGAGTAACGAAGAACGCAGGGCGAAACTTTTTCCCCAGCGAATGCAAATTTCTGTGTGAACCAGAATGCCGCGAATTAGGCTGGTCGTTCAGCGCTAGTTTAACTCGATCGCGGGGCATATTGATACGCTCGTGTGTGACGTTCATATCGATACGCTTTCGTGATTGTTTCGCTAAATTTGCGGGTTTATTTATAAAAAAAAAAAAGCACCGCTGAAACGAATTTCGAACATACAGTCGATGATTTTCATGAATAGTTTGTCGATATTCGCGTTCGAGAGGGTTTCCGCGTATTTTTGATCATTTCTTTTCTTGTTTGTCGCAAACAAAGCGTCATCGAATAATATAACTTTCTGCAATTGTAAGTTTGGAGGAGGAACGAAACGAGGTGAAGACGCTCGAGAAGAGGGTGGCGTTTCTGCGAGAGGAACTCGATAACGAGAAGTCGAAGCTGGCAGAGATGATTAAAGCGGCGGAACAAGTCGGTGTACTAACGTTCGCTAGCTAGCTCGCATTAAAAATGAAGTTTCGTTGGTATTTCAGAGGAAGAACTTATCGAAGGTCGCGGATATTGGAACATCAACGATGAACGTCCTCTCTAGACACGATCGAGGAGTGCAAGTTTGGGCAGTGTGCTTGGGGTGTCAGAGGAAGTTGGAGAGTTGCGAGAAACAGCCAGCCACAGTCATCATTACCAAGTAAATGTTCCTCTTTAGCCTTCTTCTCCACCTTTCAAAGTAAAAGAGCAGTTATTTAATAAATAAATAAATAAATAATAAAAGATTTTCAGTTACGTTCTTATATCAAATAAACATGAAATAGAGCTACAGTCAGTCCCCTAAATATTCATTCGGTAATATCATAACTATTATTTATTAGGTTGTCCAGAAAGTTCGTGCCAATTTCCAAGAAAAATTCAAAAACACGTTTGAATTTGAATATATATTTATTGAATTACATAGGTGCCATTTTGTTCCACAACCTTTCCACCCTTTAAGGGATGTATACATGTTATTTGTTTTCAACCACTTCTATATATTCAGACCTGTACCACCTACCAAAAATTCACATGGACTTTCCAGACAACCCAATAATTTAGTCAAATTTATTCAATAGACATAGAGGGTACGAATATTTATGGGATTGGGTCACTCTGTTTCGGTGAATTGTACCTCCGATAAAACACCTTGAACTAATCGGTACAAGTAGGTAACAAATCTTTTGAACCGAGTCATTCGCGTGGAAGTATTCTATTAAATAGAATCCTTTGATCACCCCTGCTTGCATCGCGAAAGGTCGGAACTGGAGGTGCTGGAGAAGGACATGCAGACACTTCGAGATACCATAATTGCTAGAGAGGAGGCGTGGGACAGGGCGATGGAACGCGAACAGAATTATAGACACCAGTTAACTCGATTGACCACGGAGACCATCACGGCTCGGCATCTTTCGGAAACGCGTCAAGAGGAGCTCCAAGCTATAACGAAAACACTTTCGGTAACTTTAACGGGGAGCCTATTTATAGCCTTTTGGTAGTCACTTAAAGCTGACACATAAGTATTTGTAAATCGTTAGAGAACCTTAAATCTATAATATACACGAGTTAACCCTTTATAGCTCACTGGTACTCATTGCTACCACTAAGGAAGCGGCGGGAATTCTGTATTTTTAAATTTCTACGCTCATGCACCAAAACAAAAGTGCAAAAATGGCCAGGGAGTTGTGCCCTATAAAGGGTTAATTTATCATTTTGCTGCCTGAATCTAACGTGATAGAGCTCGTTGAAACGACGAAGAGGTCTTTCATTGTACAAGTACTTATGAGCGGCTATCTGCTCGGCCAAGCAGGACATTAAAATAGCCTTGATACCCTTGCAGGAGAAAGAATCGGAATTGAAGTCGCTTCAAAAGGACAACCTGTACATGAACAAGCTAATAGCAAAGCTGTACAACGGTCATCAAAGGTAAAGGAATCGATCCTCTTCCTATAATTAAATCCTTTCAACGCAACAGCGCGAAACGAGAATAAAAAAAGGAAAGAATGACTCTTCTATGTCAAACAACAATATAAAGTAATCTCCGCGCAAAAGTGAGACGTGCACGGCGCAGTTCTTAAAGCTAGCTGCGATTATCTCTCTTGAACGAAGAATTATGTCCGAGAAGATCTCTGGCGTTGGGTACAATTTTTCCAGAGCTTCGCGCAGCTGATCAAAGTTTCCACTTGAAAACTTTCCCTGTTATCGGTAATTAGATCTGGACAGCGCGCGATTACGCAGGACTAAGCCGGCGCTTGTTTCGACTTTAAAGGCCGCCAAGGATCCTCCTACCGTTTCATCGAGCTGCGCGATTACGGATTAAACAAAATTGTGTGGAATAACGACCTAAAGTCCTTGATGAGTTTACAGCGAGTCGATTTTAATCAGTCCGGGAATTGCTTCGAAAACGATGCTTCCATTAACACGAAAGAATATCAAAGGTGTTAACGATCTGAAACAGTAGACGAGTCGAGTCGATTTCGATCAACCTGAAAATTGCTTTGTACCTAAAATGGTGTACCGAAGCCAAAAGAATTAGGTAAAACTTGGTCGAGAACAAACTAAGAGAACAATTATAGGGGAAAGAGTCGAAAACGTTTGAAATTTCAAACAATTTGAAAGAAGATATATTCGAAACGATCCCGTGTTTAATCCCGCGAAAGATGAGACGATAAGGTTAAGGAAAAGGGAAAAGTGTGCGCGAAGAAACTAGCCAAGAAACGTAAGATAAATCAGCAGGCGTATTCATTAGGGTCTGCGAGGCGAAACGTAGCCAAACGGAAAGAAAAAGCGTCGCGGAAATCGTTGGATCGCAGCGTAGCGTTCTCACTTTTTGCCCAGGACAACGTCACCAACCCCTATCGCTTAAACCGGGGCTACACTCTCCGCATTTTAGTCGTTTCATTAGCGAAACGCCAGGCGTAATGTACCGCCGAGAATGCCGCTTCAAATTTCACGTAACGAGACGCGAGCTTGCGAGCTTCCTACTCGTTTAACGTACCTAGGGATTCCTGCTTTCCCCTATTCCTTTCTTCTCGGTGGGGAAGACGTTAAGTACGTCGGAAATTCCATTTTTATGGACTTCGTGGCAGGCCCTTCCATTTCACTTTCCACCTAACGAAAAAAAAAATGCGAAATGAATTTCTGAACCATTCCGAGTGTGGGTATTAACACTTTACCGACTAATAGTCTGTCAGGCTTTTTGCTGGGATAACCAATACTTTGTTATCTATTATTGATATGAAATTTTATGCTTTCATATATAAATTATGATATATTATGTGAATATTAATCGAAAAATAATTGAAACAGATAAAATATATATCAAAATAATCATAAATATATCAGTCGGTAAAGTAAATATCATTACGATAAATTACGTGACTCCAATGGTAAACTATTTAATGCGACTCCTGTTTGAACATTTCGCCACGAGATGGCGCTGAGTGTAAAGGTTTAATATACTCACGAGGAGACATCACATCTATAGCGTCGTGGACAATTAATATTATAAAAACTAAAGCCCAATGGCACAAAAGCTTCGAAGTTTATGATGTTTGATATCTATAGAATGAACGTCTAAATCGTCATGCAAATCTACAACATCATAGATCTGTTATCCCCTTGTCAGACCTGTTGTACTCACGTTGTAATGTACGTGGACTTTAAGATTAATTTTTTATCCAAAATAATTGATCTCTAAAATATGAAATGTTATGTCAAGCGATGCGTATGGTATACTAACTTTATCTTGTCCTATCGATGATCCAAGTAATAATCGCAAAACTAATGTGTCCAGGTCTCGCCTCTTAATCGATCTCGAAGTCTTGATTGATCTTGATTGATCTTGAAATCTTGATCACTTAGCTTGTAGTCACGTCGATAGAGATCCACGTTTACTTTAAATGTACATAAAATTTTGCAAAAATCAGTAGATTAGTATCACAATCTTCGGAGACACTAGCACGACTTCAAAGTTGTACTCGCGCCATTTACGAATTTCGTGTGAACATTCCCTCAACAATTTCCATAACTACGCTAGTTTTAGAGGTGTCGATATAATAATTTTAAAATATATTTTTAGGACTTGAAAAAGTTTCTTTGTAAAAGTTTAAGTTTGAAGGACTCCTTGAGATACTGTGGAATTAATGAAATTATGATTTAATTTGTAGTCGCAAAGAACAAGAAAATAGTCAAAGGAGCAACTTAATGTCTGACATGAACGAGAAGGAACAAAGATTTATCGAAGAAATCGTTCGGCGATCATTAAATACTAAAAACAAACAAAAACCGAAGCCAAAGAGCGCCTGTTTAGAGAAAACACCTAATTCTGGCTTTTATCAAACCAGTCCTCGTGATAAGTGCTCGAGAACGACGAAAGAAGCGAATTCTTTCAGAGAATCTAAACGTTAAATCAAAAAATGATTTTCTAGGGAGGTCGGGAAGCTTAAGGCGCGGCAATTTTTAAATTAATTTACAAACTGTCTACAAATCGTATTCGAAACATGTGTATAATGTCTTAATAATATACACTTATTGATTTATTTATACTTAATCGATGTAAATTCCGATCAATTCTTGTCAAATAAATGTTCCTTCAAATAATTTATTTAAGACATGTATACAATTTCTTTGACACGTATCTGTTGTTGTTACACCTTTCACGCAATATATTTTTAATCAGAATAAACATTTAAGACACTTTAACAATTTGTTGATTGTTTTCTATTGCGGTATCCTGTCTCGAAGATATGCAAGGATCTCTTCTGTAGATTTGGCCAATATTGCTTGTCTTGGTTGTTTGAAAGAATTTCCAGATAAAGATAACATCCTGCAAATGTATACTTTTATAACTTTTTAAAGAAAGTCGATATTCCGACTCACCTTAGATTCTTTAAATTGCCGAGTTCTGGTGGTATATGTCCAATGTTATTGTTAGCAAGATTCAATATTGCAAGTTTCCTCAATTTTTGCAAGGATGATACGTCGATTTCAGATATTAAATTATCATTTGCTATAAATATTTCCAACGATTCAACGTCATATACAGATTCTGGTATTTCTTTGTATCTGTACAATATGCAAAATAAAACATAACAAAATAAAAGTACAAATATTGCAACTGTTTACATACAATGCTTATAAAGTACCTGTTAAATGAGATATTAATTTCTCGTAAATATTTCAATAAACCAAGACTAGAAGGAAGTGATAATAAATTGTTTTTACTTAAATCCAAAGCTTGCAAAAATTGATACTTTTCACCTATCCATTCTGGTATATGTGTTAGGTGGTTAGACGTTAGTTTCAAATCGCTAACTCTTGCAATTATTGACAACTTTTCAGGTAAAACAGATAACTTATTCCTACTTAAATCCACTGTGCCTACATCTGCTTTACATGCATCTTCTAAAACTTCTTGTGGTAATTCGACAAGATTTTGGCCAGCCAAACTGAGCAACTTTGTACTTTGCATAGTATATCTGAAATATTACGAACAATTTAAAAAATATTTACTACGAATACTTTACAAATACATACTTATCTGGATAAATATTTGTATCTCCATCAGATATCGAATACTCTGTTGTATTTACATTTGTACTGTTAACATTTTGACGTATGTGTTTTAAAATACGATACGTGCCGCATCGTATTATATCGTGTCTTATATTCTGTACATCATTTCCATCGATTGTTAATTGTTTTATATTTGGCATTATACCAATATAACTTGGTATTCTATAAAATTAATAGTATTATCTTTAAAATGGTTTTTTTACATGTAACGCCGATATATGTGAAATAACATACTTAGTTACATTGTTGCACGACAAATCAAAAATTTCCAGATTTACTAATTTTATTATTTCCTCTGGTATCGTAGTAATTTTATTACTTCCTAATGTCAATGTTCTCAATTGTCCAACACCTTCCAAACAAGACATATCAATTTCCTAAACACAATGTATCTATTACACATAATATTACAATAATATACATTGTTTCTACATAGAAATATAATAGATATACATACAGTAATTTCATTAGCAGTCAAGTGTAGTACTTTTAATAATATACACCCAGACATGTTAGGAAATGTTTTTAACTTGTTTCCTTGCAACATTACTGTTTCTACCTTCCTTAATTCACCCAGGGGTGGTAGGATTTCCAACTCATTATAACTTGCATCTAGCTTTTGTAACACTATTTGCAAAAGAGTATTTCCAATATTTATAAAATTTCCATATTACAGAGGAAGAAACAATGTGAAACTGTCTCTTCTTTTCAAATTACTAGTAGTAAACTATACCTCTCATACTTGTTAAATCAGATGGCAATTCTTTTAACATGTTGTGGCTTACATCCAAAGAAATCAATCGTACTAAAAATCCCATTCCCAATGGTAGTTCAGACAAATTATTACATGACAAATCCTATGTATAGAAAATACTTCAAAATTTGGATACATGAAAGTATATTAATATACATAAAAATTGTATTATAAGTTACCAAATGAGATAACATAATTAAATCGCCAATTGCAGAATCAAGTTCTCTTAAACAATTATTCTTTAAATATAATTGATGTAATTCGTTCAACTTGTAAAATTGATGTGGTAGGTTCTCTAATTTGTTGTTAGATACATTTAGTACTTTTAATGTACTTAAATTTCCAATCTCTGGAGGTAAGTCCTCTAATAAGTTATTGTGTAACTATGAAAATTACATAATTTTATTATATTTTATTACAATTTTCTGTAAGTAAATATTAGATCAAATTGAACACATACTAGCAATGTTGTCAATTCTGTTAAACATTGTATTTTTGGATCAATTCTAGTTAAACTATTACAACTCAAATCTAATATCTTAAGTGGTTCCTGCTCCCACCAACGTTCATTTTTGTGCACATAATCAAGCTCAATGTGTAGCTCCTTTACTTCTTCTTCTGTTAATTCATTTATACTCCATACTCTATTGGGTACTGTAACAGATTGTATTAGTTTTCATATGTGATACGCTTTATACAAATAATTTATATAATATTCTGAACATAATTTTACATTACATGTACAAACTCTGTAACTAATAATAACTTACCTTAATGTATGCTTTTGGTGATCTTGTATGATATTATTGAAAATATTGCTTGTTCTATCGCATGATTCACTGTCTAACATGCAAAGCTATCTATGAATAAAAATAAAAATAAAAAAAAATTGATTTCATGATCATAAAGTAACTAAAGATATTGTATACTATATTTATTTGATTCTTTAAACAGGATGGATGGGTGCAATAATACAAAAAATGATATGTAATGCAATGATATATTTGTAATAATTTTAATTTTTCAATACAATGAAACAATAAGAAATGAAATGCCATTGAGAAGCATGAAGCAGGTAGTGCAAATTTTACTAGGCTACAGCTGTTTCCTAACCACAGACAATTCATGTTTATAAATGTACTATTACCAAACGAATATAGATAAGAAATTTTGTAGATCATATAATGCAATTTTGTCACTACAAAACAACGAAACAATCACTTGTTACATTCAGAATAATAATATGCATGGAGTCCACATAATTAGTGCTACTTGTAAGATACACGTTGCATACAACAAATTTTATTTTATAATATTATTTTCATTCGAGACTTCTCCGTTAAAAACATCGAAACGGTGTACATTAAAACCATCAAAATAACAATGTAATATAAATACGAACGGTGGCATGCACATTCATTTCATTTACGAGTGCACATCTGAGTATCAAGCATTCGAATGATTTTAAATGTGTCTAAAAATATATCTGAACAACATTTATGTCATTTTCAAACGTTGAAAATACCCGTGTATAAACCTCTCGACGAGAGATTCAAATTTCCGGTCTTTCTCGCAGATATAATGAGAACTTCCGATAATTCAGCGTTATCATCATGTTTTGTTCGTCGTTTAAACACCGCTCTATGATTGATTTTTTTCTTAACACCACTCATTCTGTACTTATAGCGAACATTGTTGACGGATTAATATCCGCGATACAGAATGATTTAATGATGAACCTCCCCTACTTTTGACATGACGCATCACGTAAAATAAGTAGATAGTATATCGTGCGTTTTGTCCATAGACGTATACTTAGGACAGTCTCTATGAACGGAGAAATATGACTACCATGGTACTCGCTATTTGAAATAAATAGTATATAATATCGTAACGAGTATATTGAAAATTATATTCTGCTTTGAACGATATACAATAAACGTAATTATTTAGAAAGTTACTAAATTGCTGTACGAGACTAGATTTCAGGAATTTTATAGCGAAATGTTGCCTCCAGTGCGTGTTGCGATATGGGGGGCGGAATCGTATCGATCATTTGATGTCCCGGGGGCCGAACGGCCAAAACCCAAAACCAACCGACCAACCATCGATCCATTTATGTGGGAGCCTGGAAGACAGTGTGATTCTATCTCCGACAGCGATATATTTACTCGAAATACTTAAAATACCCAGTCAATCATTTATTATTCGTTAAAATGACTACGCATTCTATGTGTTCTAACATGTTAAAAAGACATATCTTTTTGTTTATATTTATGCTAAGCCAAGTTAACAGTGAAGAAGAAGATAAAGTACACACAGTACAGTACAACAAAGACAATTTTTTGTCAGAGATTAAGAAGAAAAATCATTTTGTCATGTTTTATGCACCATGGTACATGTATAATTTGTTTGTATTTACTGTGTCAAAAAAAAAATTATTATTGAAGCATGTTTATAATCTAAATGATCTATTAAAAAATTGAAGTTGGATTAGAAAACTTATATATAATATTTGTATATGATACAATGATATATTTTTATTTTTGTTAGGTGTGGACATTGCCAAGGACTTGAACCCACTTGGGAACAGTTAGCAGAGATGTCAAACAAAGAATACCATAATTTAAAGATTGCTAAGGTTGATTGTACTACAGACAGTAGCTTATGCACCGAACATGATGTTACTGGATATCCTACGTGCGTATAGAATCAGCTTATTGTATATAATAATGGAAACAATACAAATTATACATACATTTATATATAAAGAAATAAACTTTAGTCTTAATAATTTTGCAGGCTGAAGTTGTTTAAAGCTGGGGAAACTAAAGGCATTAAATTTAGAGGTACAAGGGATTTGCCTTCGCTAATTTCTTTCCTTGTTGATCAACTAGGCACTACTCTTGAGGTAATTATTAGCAGAATACTTTTATTGCATTACAACATGAAGAAATCCATTTTTTTAATCTGAAATTGAACAAATTAGGTTGCAGACGTTGTACCATCACCTCCCGAAGCGGTAAATGGTTTAATAGAACTAACAGAGGATACATTTGATAAGCATGTATCCACTGGTTACCATTTTGTAAAGTTTTATGCACCTTGGTGTGGTCATTGCCAGAAATTAGCTCCTACATGGGAAGAATTAGCTAACAGTCTACGTAACAGTAATTATGTTACCATTTCTAAAGTAGATTGTACACAACATCGTGGTGTTTGTAGTCAATTTGATATAAAGGGATATCCAACATTGCTCTGGATCGAAGATGGAAAGAAGGTAATGTATGAATATTACCTTAATTTTTATTATTTTAATTTTTCCTGAAAAATTCTGGTAACCCTTGACCATGAACTTATAGGTGGATAAATATTCAGGTCAACGAACTCACGAAGAGTTAAAAGCTTATGTATCAAAAATGCTTGAAAAGAGCAATGACCAAACAAATGTTAATACTTGTCATTCCGACAATACATTACATACAGTGCTCAGTTTAACCGGCGAGAGCTTTAAACATGGCATTGAAAAAGGCGTCTCGTTTGTTAAGTTTTTTGCACCTTGGTGTGGACACTGTAAACGTTTAGCTCCTATTTGGGAAGACCTCGGGAAAAAGTTCTTCACAAATGAGAACGTGAACATAATCAAAGTAGACTGTACGCTTGATGCAAGCAAAGAATTGTGCAATGAACAAGAAGTAGATGGATTTCCAACGTTATATTTATATCGTGATGGACACAAAGTGTCTGAATACAGTGGTGCTCGTAGTCTCGACGATTTATATGAATTTGTAGCCAGTTATGTGCAACCGCACGACGAACTATAAACTAATTCCGAAAAGATAGCATAATTTAAGGTGTTTTTAAACTTAAATGTGTAATACTTAATTTAATTATATATGAATGTACGATAGCGTCATACAAAGAAACTCCAAGACATCCAGGCCCTATATTTTCCATTTTTTTATAAAATATCAAAAAAATACTATAAAACAATTATACATAAATCCTAAGACTACTATATTTTTGTGTGACTAAGTCGTGTACTTCCAAAATACATTTACAGAACTAACCGTATTTAACATGTCTCTATCATATGTTTTTATATCGTATAAAATCGAAAATTTCTTTTTTAATACTTGATATTTTAAATTAAGATACCGCGATATAGTTATTAAAAACCAGAAAGAGCTGTAGCCGAAGGATAAAACGAGCGTAGTAGTTGACCACGTTGTTTATCTATATACAGTGTTTTACGTTTCACGATTATTTCTCGTTCAAGGTCACTCCTTGCTTTAACAAGACCAGCTTGCGTCTCTTCGGCTCGTTTCAATTCTGCTAGCATTGCCGACGTGCGTTCATTTAACATTTTTACTTCCTCGACGAGACTAATTGTAAGCGAAGCATAAACACATATTTAGTTAATATCAGTTAACACAAGGGAAAAATATGGAAAAAAAGAACACGCAATTTTCCATCCTGGACAATCGTTGAATAATCGAACAAAAAATTTGTAATTTTGTGAGAAATCTTGTACCTCTTACAGAATAAATATCATTTCTTTTGTAGATTTTAAGAAAATCACGATTACATTTATTATAAATGGCTTACGTTTCTTCCAGGATAGACACTTCCCTTTCTCTATATTTTTCCCAAATTCTATAAATACTTGCTTACAAACACCTGCTCGAACGCACAATCTATTTCACTCACAAGGGCAGAACACGACGTTCGGATCACGGATATTCTTCAAACTTTGTACACTTTTAGTAGTTCATTAGGACAAAATAATCTCCAAATATTAAGGCGTACTACTTTGACGTTTTCGAGAAAATTGTTAGAGAAGTTATGTAATGGCAGCGGTCGAATGTTTAGCGTTCAAGCTCGATTTCGATGATTTTTAAATATGTTGTAGAAATCAACATTTTGAACAACTTTTTCCTATACATATAACCGTCGCTCGGCCTTAGTTTCCGAGATATTTGCAAAATACCATTACTACTACTACAATGAATATTGCGTATAGCAACGCGTCCGTAACAGCGTGTGTGTAACCGTTGAGTCCTCGATTGTTTAAGCTCGGAATACACGTCCGCGTCTGTGAATCTGTATGCGTTAGCTATCATTCGTCGGTCGGCTTGTGTTTCAATCTGTTTCGAACTCATTCATACATATGAAGTACCGCATGATCTTTATTCGTACAGTAAAAAAATGGGGGTCCGGGGGCTAGCTACCGGTCGTGAGTTTGGGGGCTTCGCCCCCAACAACAAGTACTGCAGCGCACCACGCAGGTGTGTACATGGTTAGCCTGGGGGATGTTTATAGTTTAGCGGGGGGTCGAGGGGGCGCAGCCTCCCAGCATGCACATAGTTTTGAATTGAAGCTGAAAACTTTTTACAAAATTTAAAAAGCATACATCTCAAAACAATATGCATGATGGGGGGCTGCGCCCCCTAAACCCCTTGCCTAACGGGGGGCTGCGCCTCCTCGACCCCCCCATTTTTTTACTGTACGAATAAAGATCATGCGCTACTTCATATGTATGAATGAGTTCGAAACAGATTGAAACACAAGCCGACCGACGAATGATAGCTAACGCATACAGATTCACAGACGCGGACGTGTATTCCGAGCCTAAACAATCGAGGACTCAACGGTTACACACACGCTGTTACGGACGCGTTGCTATACGCAATATTCATTTTAGTAGTAGTAATGGTATTTTGCAAATATCTCGGAAACTAAGGCCGAGCGACGGTTATATGTATAGGAAAAAGTTGTTCAAAATGTTGATTTCTACAACATATTTAAAAATCATCGAAATCGGTGAGGATGTACCTGTTCTCCATAATTACCAAAATGAGTTATACATAAACACAACCAAACTTCTTCTTATTGTTTGTTTTCGATTTGTTTGCATATAATTTTGTTGGATTAAATAAAGCTTTAATTTTTATAACGCAAATGTATTACGCGTTTTCTTAGCAAAACCTTGAAATAATAAATATATTTAGTAGATATGTAGATCTGCCTATAGGCAGATAACATTGGAAATTCAATAAATATTCATGCAAGTAAATGCACGTTTTCATTATATTATCTTTGAATTGTAATGTTCAAGAAAAAATATGACCAGTGTGACAAGAAAGAAAACCACGAGCGAAACTCGACACCTGATCCAGAGATTACGGAGCTTGAACGTTGAGCATCCGACCGCTGCCATTTTATACTTATACTCGCAACGCACCGATACATATTCGGAACGTAAAAACTTCTCTAACAATTTTCTCGAAAACGCCAAATTAGTACGCCTTAATATTTGCACATTATCTTGTCTTAATGGACTACTAAAAGTGTCCTGCCCTTATCAGTTACGCTATCATCAATGCTTATTTTTACAACGTTTACGCGATTAGATAGAACACTTACGCAAATTGAGATACATCACGACAGCTTTCAACGTTACGACGTTGTAATCTGTTCGCCAATCGGGTTTGCGCCACTTTCATTGCACAATCCAAGCCCCTCGTTGAATGACGAAGCTCATCAATTGCTTTTTCAGTATTTGCTAACTCATGCAAGCACTGAAAGAAGATTGTTCTTTTTCATTCGAATGAAGTAATCATAATAAGCGAACACCACAGATACAATTGAACTCACGCGAAGCAATTCTTTCTCTAATTGTAGACGGACTTCTTCCGTAAGCTTAATCTTTTCTCCTAATACGAGTTCCACGCGGGTAGCTTGATCGCGAAGATCTTTAATTGAATTCGTGTATATTGCGCTCAAAGTGGACCTCAGGTTCGCCGATTTTTGCTTTGCAGACTCCGCGTCGCTTAAACTTTCTCGCGTGTAATGCTCGTAACTCGCAGGTGTCGATTGTCTATGGAAAACAAAGAAATCGTTTATAAAAAAAATAATTCTTTTGGTTCATCGTTTGCTCTGGGCTTAATTTTGATGCATACTCCGCCGGAAATCTTGTAGCACCGGGTGCCCACAGTATAACCGGAGAATTGTTTTTTAATTGTAAAGCGTGGGCATCAATGCTGTAAGCGTCTGTCTTATCAGTCCAATCGACTTCCATTCTTGTTTTCGCTGCCTTCAGTTCGATCAGTTGCATTTCTATTTGTTCTCGAGTTCTACCGAGCAGGTCGCGTATTTCATAGCAAAGAGCTACTTCCTGCAAAAATGAACTCGAACATACCAATAATAGATGCATTCATAAACACATAAGAAGCTAAAAATACTATCAGTATTAACTTTCGTTAACTCCTCCTCGACTTCGTCTCGGATAAGGTCGGATTCGAGGCGTTTAGAACGCAATTGTAAAAATTCCCCAGCGATCGACTCGGGAATCGTGAGAACCGATAAGGAGTGTTTGACACGTCGTCGTTCAGCCTCCAATAATTCAATCTCTTTGGTAATGTCAAGTATGAAGTGTTCTAATTCGGTTTTCCACTGATGCACGTCTCTTGCTCGATCCTTCAAATGATCCGTCGATTCCAATTGTTTCTTGTCCGCCTCTCTGTACGATTTATCAACGCATCGTTTCGCATTGTTTATAGCAAGCCTAAAAATATATGACGTGGAATTACTTATACGCGATGGAAAAAAAACAGATATGCAAATCAATTGTAAAGGTTAAAGCGTAAATATTTGCCAACGTACTGGGCGTCTCGTATCTTTTCATTCGATTGTTCGAAAAACTTTTGATTGTGGGCTCTCCATTGAGGTGCTCCAAATTGAGTTACAGAATATCGATCGACAACTGGTCTCACTCCTGTTAAACCATCTTTAGGGTTGAACGTTACGCGACCCGTGGCCCATGGACCGATCGGTTCCATGGATCCTTCCGGTTGTACCGGAAATTCGTCTCCTGGTTGAGTAAAGTAAGGAGGTGGCTTGTCTCCCGTTTCACCTTTGGTAGGTTCCATCATGGGACAGGGCATAACAGGCTAGAAAAGTATTCATTTTGAACACGCATAAGTTGTAAGGGTGTACAAAGCCGACGTGAGTATCGGACCCCGAAGTTTGCCGACATGTTTGTCGCGTTTCCTTCTTTGAAAAATATTCAATGTCTGATCGAGTTATGAGCTGGTCGTGGCAATCGGGCTGCCCGAAAGTTCCCATGTTTCGCTGGAATTTCTAATGGGCCGACTTGAGCTCGAATGTCAAGCGGCTCGCATATCCCTAATAAGTTATCTTTTTGAAAAGATTTGGGCATCAATATGCAAATCTGTATCTGTTATCTCCATTACGCATCAAGTTGGCCTTGATATCAGCTGATAACCGTTATAAATATCACGATTTAGAGCGCCATAAATATCAATATAAAAAAGAAAAATCAATCTCTGAATCGTCAACATATGTAACGTAAATGTAATGGATATTTTTTCAATTAATCATGAAGGAAAACAGGTCCGATTACATTATCGCCAAGTGTTCCAGACTATTAATACTGAATTATTAATGGCTTAATCGTAAAACAGTACGTGCATTTTGCATTTTATTGAACTACGTACAACGTCGTTGATTTTCTCTAATAGAGATGGAATTCAATAAATTATTACGTTGAAATTAATTAATTTACCGCATCACCGGTTCCGTTGTATGGAAGCTGCTGGAATGCTTCTCTCGAGGAATCTTGTTTAACATCCATGTCAAATACTTGTTCGGATTAACAAGAATTAAATTCGAAAAGATGATAACAATGTCTGCGATTGCGGACAATCTTCTGATGTAATTAACGATACAATTTAATTTCGACGAATTATTTCCGAATGATGGCTTCTTCAGGGAACAGTATTGAGATTTATCGATTTAATAGCCCCCAGCAACTGAATGTTATTTTCATCGAAGAGAGTTTTAAATAAACTTAATAAAAATCTGTTCAATGTAGTTTCATTAATTTCAATAACTTGGAAGAGTCAAAACCTGATAATATTGTATTATAAGTTGATAAATCAATTAACTTGCAATCAATTACATGTTCAGCCATGCATTTATATACGTAAGATAAAAGCAGATAAAAGTAGTATTCGCTCTTATCACGTTTCCTAATTTATCGTAACCTCATATCAACCAGAGATGTGGCCCGTGTGGCATAATTTGTTACCCGACGTTCGAATGTTTATTACCTAAACATAGCGAAGGTGAAACCACCATTTAAATGCAATAAGCGTAAAGCACGAAAAAGACAATTGTATTTTTGTTTTTCTTTCTAATATGAGATTTATATTCTGAAATGAGCACTTGTGGCTTCGGTAAGATTCATATCTGCAAACTCATTCCAAAACATATATGTGATATTACTTTTATCTGAAGGTTAACAATATATATATATTTAAGTTGATTCAGAGTGAATTGCCTGTTATACACAAACAAACCGTCGAAGAAAGCAGACAGAAAGATGACACGTATATTGCCAGATATCAAGTACACACAGGTAAATAATTTACTTTTACGTTATTAGAAAATAAAAATAAAAAATAAACTATTGCGTTAATGGTAACTAACTGAAAACCAGAAAATTGTACAGGACAAATAATAGCTTAAAATGAATTTGTTTATATAAATTACAGAGAAATCATGCGTAGCCTAGAATTTTTATTAATAGCATATTCGTTTTCAGTTGTTTATTAACAATGAGTTTGTGGATGCACAAAGTGGTAAAAAATTTCCCACTATAAATCCAGCTGATGGCACTGTCATTGTCGAAGTCTCTGAGGGTGACAAGGTAAATTATACTCAGAGTTACACTTGTATTTTATAAGTTATGTAACGTTAAATCAATTTCTGTGCAGCACACTGTTTTATATACATTTATATTATATTGTACAGGCGGATGTAGACAAGGCAGTTGCAGCTGCAAAGAAAGCATTCAGCAGAGGATCAAAATGGCGAAAGATGGATGCATCCGAAAGAGGGAGGCTTATGAACACAGTACAATGCCTATTATATAACTTTAAATTATTTTTATGACCCAGTCCTTTAATACTGTATTATCATATTGTCTCTGTCTAGTTTGCAGATCTCATCGAACGCGATTTAGATTATATTGCCACTCTTGAAACTCTGGATAATGGAAAAGCATATAGCAATGCAGTTTTGGATGTAAACGCGAGCATAGCAACAATTCGTTATTATGCCGGATGGTGCGATAAAATCCTTGGCGACACTATTCCATCAGGTATATTAACTTTTATAAGAAATTGTTTACTCCGGAGAAGACACTAACACCATTTATTGTTTAGATGGAAATTTTGTTACGTTTACGCGAAAGGAACCAGTCGGTGTAGTGGGTCAAATTATTCCTTGGAATTATCCTCTTTTTATGCTGGCATGGAAATGGGGTCCAGCATTGGCTACTGGATGTACTATTGTCTTGAAACCAGCTGAACAGACTCCATTATCTGCTCTTTACTGTGCAGCACTTGCTAGGGAAGCTGGATTTCCTCCAGGTGTTGTAAATGTTATTACAGGATATGGCCCAACAGCTGGTGCAGCTATCGCGGAACATCCCGATATTCGTAAAGTCGCATTCACTGGATCCACAGATGTACGTAATTATTGATCTAACAATTAAAAATGATTTAATACCAATTAATTCGTAGATTGGCCATATAATAATGGCAGCTTCCGCTAAAACAAATCTCAAACGCGTTAGTCTTGAATTAGGAGGCAAGAGTCCCTTGGTCATTTTTGATGACGTCGATGGTACGTTGATAATACGTTTCACGAAGTGTTATATATTTATGCTATAGAGTGCGGTATATTAACTGGAAACTATTTATAGTTAAAGAAGCTGCAAAAATTGCATACGATGCAGTATTTGCAAATCACGGACAAAATTGTTGCGCTGGCTCGCGTACTTTCGTACATTCGAAAATTTACGACGAATTTGTCAAACACGCGAAACAGTTGGCTTCTGAAACGAAAGTTGGCGATCCCTTCGATTCTAAAACTCAACAAGGACCGCAAATCGATCAAGCTATGTTCAATAAGGTCTTAGGATTAATTAAATCGGGAAAAGAAGAAGGTGCAGTAATTGAAACTGGTGGAGAACGTCAAGGCAACGTTGGCTACTTCATCAAGGTATAATTTCAACTTCAAATTTTTATCTGCTATTTGGATTATACTTTTTCATAATTATCTCCCATTTATTGTAAGCCTACTGTCTTTTCTAACGTGACCGACAACATGAGAATTGCTAAAGAAGAAATATTCGGTCCCGTTCAATCCATTTTGAAATTCGAAACGCTTGATGAAGTCATAGAACGCGCAAACAGTGTGGAACATGGCCTTGCCGCTGGTGTGATTAGCAAAGATATCGATAAAGCATTGGTATTTGCACAAGCAGTACAATCTGGTAGTGTTTGGTAAGAATTATAAACAATTATTTTTTGTTGGTTACGTGTAAATAAAATAAGAAATATATAAATTGTTTAAATATTAAATAGGGTGAATTGCTATGATGCCATTACACCTCAGACTCCATTTGGTGGATTTAAACAATCTGGCATTGGTCGTGAGCTGTAAGTTAAACATTGTGTCTAGAAAAATATTACAATGATAAAATATTATGCTTTCCTTTATGTTTTTAGAGGTGCAGATGGATTGGAGTTATATCTCGAAACCAAAACAGTGTCTATTAAGGTGCCAACATGTAATTAAAACTAATGTACATAAATATATATAATCCAAATTGTTACATCAAATTTATATAAATAAATTCATTATGTTTTGCATTTTTTGATCCTCCATCTTGGTTTATTTATTTATCAAACTTTATTATGAATGTTACTTATTAACACACTACAATTATACATAAAAAACAATACATTGTTTTAAATGACAACAATTTTAACAATTTACTAAAACAGATTATTTATTGAAACAGTATACAGAAGTTGAGTGTTTACCAATGTATTTGTTATTATCTTGAGTACTACGTTGGAAACTTTACTGAATGCAATTGTGGCTTTATATTTAACTCAGAACAGAGGATTTTATATTTATAAAGATAATGTACTTAGGTTATTTATTCATCATCCGGTGGGATTCCTAATTCTTCATCTGTCCAGTGCTCTGCAATTGGAGTTGGTATTTCACCCTACACATATAAAATATAAAAGTATAAAATTATGAAGATCATTTATGTATAGATCCTTCGTTTTTACGAAAAACCGCTTATAATATACATAATAATTAAAATAGTACTTGCCTTCAGAAGGATCTCCCAACCATAATAAAGATGCCATAGAACCCACCACCATGCAATTCCACCTGATACTTCTGCTGCTATTACATCAAGTCTCCCTGGCGGGGGTGGAGAACGATAACACCAGCTAATAAAGTAAAACCATATCATAATGTCTATTAGAAAAATTATGTAACAAATGCATAAACTTACTTCCCATGCGAAAAGCGAACAAATTTCAAATTTGTCGCTACACTTTTGGCCTGTTTATAGTGATATCCATTTTTTAAAATCGCTGCACCTCGTGAAATTAACATTTTTTCATTAATAAATGATTTAAATGATCGAGTTATCACTGGTTATGACCAGGTTATGACCAAATGACAACCTGGACCAAACCTGACCTCTGGCAACTCTATGTAGAAACAAGTTGATAATTTTCGGCATTTCGATTGATCGAATGTATAATCAACATTATACTTCTAACTTCACTTTATACACGTAAAAACATAATTTTATTGGTCAACAATTATCGAATAACACAAATTCGGAGTATAGGTAAGCAAATATTCTCGACAAAATTAATATTCGATAGATATCAAATGAACGGTATTATTGTAAGTTTGCATTGATGTTGATGTTGATAATACTAAATGTTTGTGTCAATTTCAAATTTAAATTACTACAATAAGTCGTAACATACGAAAAGAATATGTAATTAAATGCCACTGTGTTTCAAGTAGATGACACCATTTGTTGAATAAATTAAAATTAAGGTTCAAGGTTATTTCTGTGATCATTGGAGGTCGTTTCTCCCTGGAATTGGGCTTCACTTTTATTCGTAAAAGTATAGAAATGTACTCTAACTCCGATATACATATTGTATACACGTCTATGCTTTTACTCCTCTAACCTATAATATTGATTTCCGTACCGTCTCTCAGGTTTGTGTGAAACATTGATAAATGCGGTTAAACCGAGCCAAACACCTATCTATTAATTTTATATCGAAGCAATGATGCTTTCTTTGAAAAACATTCATCTTGTTTGAAACTTGTCATTCGATCTGATCATGTGATGTTACTTAACCTATTAAGAAGATGCAATAATTAATTTAATTATTGTACGTATACATATTACTTATTGTACACATAATAATATTCACACGTATACAAAATTATTTTACTGCAAGCTCTGTGTATTTCTTCGATATTATTTTATTCTCGAATAAATTTCATAAATCAATGAATTGTATAAAGATTTAATTCTGAGTTTTTTTAAATATTGTAATGCAACTGTGAAAACGTACAGAAGATATTGTAATACACACTAATAAAAAATAATGGCAAGCACAGAAGATACTGAAAGTATTCCAGCTTGGGAACCATTGAGATTGACTTATATCAAACCATCTTTCAATAATCAAGAATCAATTTTAGCAGCACGTCAAGATTTATGGCACAAATTCATTGTTTACAATATAAGACAATGTCAATTAAAGGAAATAATGAATAGGATCATTCTTGCTTGTGACCCTGAAGTCCTATTGCCTGTTAAATGTAAAGAGGAATCCTCGAATAAAAGTACTTTCTTGGTGAAAAGTGCTTCTGCTGCTATTCAAAATCTTGTGAATCAAGGTTTATGTCTAACTATGCTGAATGGAAATGAGATACGTATAGATATTGTATTAGGATTTTTACCGGTCACACAGTTACCATTGAATCCAAATAAAATTGTAGCACAAGCATTGTATTATAGATATGAACGTACAAAAAAGGTCTTAAATCTTGATGATTTTGAAAATGAGAAGTCTTTGTGCTCCATATATTGTCCCATATCTGTGCCCAGAGTACTACAGTTCGTTTTGAGATGCACCAAAGTAGGAATCAATCATGATACAACACTACCTGTCCGTGAATTAAGTTTAAAATATAATAAAATCACAGCCATTCTACTGTTTGAGAAATTTTTTAATTATCATTTGACCAAGTTAGATTTAAGATATAATAATATTGGAGATGTGGATTATTTACGCTATTTTAGTGAATTTAAAATAAGTGAACTCTGGCTGGATGGAAATCCACTGTGTGCAAAATATAGCAAGTGTCGGGACTATGTGCAAGCAGTAAAAAATGTTTTTCCTCATCTGCAAAAATTGGATGGAATTATAATAGATACAGAGCAAAAATTTGTTCCTATTCTCCAAAGTAACTTTTTAAGAGATGGTACAAAAACTTGCCTTATCAAACAATTTGTGAAGCATTACTTCACATTATATGATCAAGATGATAGACAAGTGATGAATGGATTATATGACAGAGATGCACTTTACTCTATGACACTGGGGCCTATTGTAAATTATGTTCATAAACAAGTAACTAAAACATTTATTATAAATAGGAATTTACTTAAATTTGTTGATTATGCCAAGTGTCAAGAATTCTTATTAAGAGGCCCAGAAAAAATCATGACTGCATTAAGAAGTCAACCACCTACAATACACAATTTTAAATCATTTCACGTCGATTTTTTGTACGAAGGCAAAACTGATCTTGCAATTTCTGTACAAGGATTGTTTTCATTCCGAGATGTTGCTTGTCCGCCGATGTTTTTCAGCAAAACTTTCATCATTATGCAAAAAGAAGATAACGAATATTGCATTACCAATGATCAGTATTATATCGATGGAACACCCGCCAACAGTAATGTGTCGAGTAGCAGTGAATCAAAATTTGATACAAAGACTTCACCAAAATTTGTACCAACTGTGTTTAGTGTTTCGGAAAAGGAACAACTACTATCGTTTCTGCATGAATTGACTACAATGAACATGAAATTCTGCCACCAGTACCTTGAGGAGGCCAATTGGGATATAAGGACGGCAATTACAACATTTATGAACATGTACACAGTAAATAACGTACCGCCCGAAGCTTTTCTTCTGTAATGTACAAGAATTCTGTTAACCATATAAATCGAGGACTTACTGTATTTATAAAATTATTTACATTGTATTTACAAGAAAATAATCATGTAATTTTCAGTAAAAATTTTTATGTACATATACATATAACAGAAGGAAGTAAAATAAATCCAACAACTTTTCTATAAAAAATTTACAATTTTATTTTATACAAAATAAAAAATTACAGTTTTGATAATATTAACAACCTTGCTGCATATTTAACAAAGCGATGGTTCTATTTATATACGGTGTAGTATTCACATTAGAATTTACACCTAATTCAAACACCTTTTGCATTAATGGTAGAGCATGTTCTGTAACAAAATTCCAATTTTCGTAATATAGATTTATTAAATTAAACAAAACAAACTAAGTAGCTTACCTTGCATGCACAATACGATCTCTGGCAATTTTTCTAAAGCCGACATTAGAATGTCAGCTCTAGGACTATCCAGACATCTCTGAAACGCGGATAGTATATTTGCATTTGATGCAGGTCGATGCTTCAGTGCCCTCGCCAATAAAGTATGAGCAAGAGACCTTATATTACTCTGTGGAGACACAAGTAATTCCGCTATACTGTCTGTTACAGACTCCAAAACTGTAGGTTTTCGAGATGTTAAATGTTCGATTTCTTGAAGAGCGTTAAACACGTCTGTAAATAATATTGTAATATTAAAATTTATTTGTTATTGGCTCCACAAAAATTTTTAACCGAAATTTAGCTATGTCGCATCGTCATACCTTCACCTTGCATCTTGGATAAAGTAGTTAATAACGACGGCCAATGCTGCGGAATAATGGATTCCGAAGGAGGCGGGGCAGGAGGTACAGTGATTAAAATCTCTTCTACATCTTCGCCTTCTCTTGGCATTGGAATGCCTGCTACAAGTGTTCTCAGTGTAACTAGATTTGGATAGTGTACCTGCAATTCACTACATGTAAGTGTAAGCTAATGTTTGGATTTTGCTAGAACAAATCAAAGGTATCACTTACTGAAGAATCTGAGCATGCTTTTGCAAATATTTCAATGCCCTTTGCGGATCATAAGAAATGTACGCTTGCAGTAATGAGATGAATCTGTTTAAGATTGGTATCAGTTCTTTTATCGGCCCGTAATTCTATAAATAAAAAGATCCGTAAATCGATGAAACTTAATTATATATATCTACACTTCGTAACACACCTGAAAACATTGAAAGTAATTTTCTAACGTGTTCTCCAGAGCAGTTTGATGCTCTTCGCTAAACAAGTGTGGCTGCAATAATTCCAGGAGTCCCATTACTTGTACAAAAAGATTCAAGTGATGACCTGATCTAAATTGGCTGAAGTCCAAATAACATCTTCCCATTAATGACGACGCTAACATTGGAAGTTGTCGTAACACTAAGATCGGATGTACGGCAGCCATTTTTCTAGCACACAATTCGAAGTCCTGAGACTTGGAATTCCACGATTTTTGTCTCGGTGTTGCAGCTAAGGCCGTTAGCAAGGAGTGACTCATACAATCCAATACAGAACCCGTCCATTCTGTGATCTTTGCTTCTCCGACAAATTTTTTAGTTTGGAAAGTATCTAAGTAACAAATTACTTTCGGC